TCAGAGCACTCAGATTGGATTGAGAGCCATGCTGCCCTGCTCGTAAAGGGCAGATTGGCCATCCCATCAAGAACCTCTTTTGTAGTTACATGGCGAACAACAGATTCCTCTTGGCGATTGATGAAACTACAGATCTGGCATGAGGTGTTGTTACATTCAGGGGCATTTCGGCTGGCAAAGTCGGAAGGCAAAATAGCTTGACCGGAAATGTGCCTGATGGATATTTGAAAGCGGCTTGCGGTTGATAGGAATGTGGAGACTCTGGGGCTGGCTGAAAATTCTCCTCTAAAAAGCTTCTCGTAAGCCTGAACACAAGGTTTGCTGTCGGTTAATACACAAGCTGGAAGCACTGATTGTATTATATATGGACTGTAATGCTTCATGGCTGCGGAAATTGATAAGGCTTCAATTTCACATGGTAACCACTGTCGCTGGTTCTTGCGGAGTTTTGCACTAAAAAAGCCTGCCAAGAGGGGTTTGCCTTTCCTTTCTACATAAAGGGTGGCACCAAGTCCATATTTCTTTAAGGCTCCATCTGTAGCGATCCACAGTTGATCACTCGGGCGTGGAAGGGTTATAGATTTATGTGTAGTTAATGCCTCTTGTGCTCTATGGAAGGCTGATAGCAGATCATCTGTCCACACAATTCTGTCCTTGGGATGACGGCCAGCTACTATGTCATCGAGTGGTGCGAGGAGCTGTGATGTATCCTGGATAACACGTGATAAGACCTTATAAGCACCAATGAATGAGCGAAGAGACGTTACTGTTTGGGGAGTCGCGCAAGTAGAGAGCGTGGAAATGCGGTGTTTACTTGCACTAATTGTGCCGAGTTGCCAGACCCAACCAAGAATTGTAGCCTGAGCTGGTGCGATTATTGTCTTTGATGCGGATAGATTAAGGCTGCTTCTATGCAGGGCCTCAAGGACTCTTTCCCAGTTACGCATGAGATCCTCAGGTGTGTTGCCCCCACAATACAGGTCATCAGCGATTTTGGCTACAACTCCTTCCTGAACGAGGTGACCAAGAACTCTGCAGGTTAGTTCCTCTAGTGCAGTTTCTGAACCCGGCATTCCCATAGCGGATCTCACATACACTCGCACTCCACGGAATGGTGTAGAAACGCCACAGTATTTCATTGACTCCCTCGCCAAAGGAATTTGGTAAAATGACTTTGTAAGATCTGTTATAACGATGTACTTCCATTGGGCTATTTGTCTTAATGTTGAGTCTATATCCGGCATAAGGGATGGCTGTGGTTTGCTATAACGTCCGACGTCAGCAAAGGCAGTCAGTAGCCTGAATCCACCATTCGGTTTTTTAATCAGGAAGGATGGATTGACGTACTCTGCAGTAATGCCAATATCTTCAGGGCGTTTAAAGACGCCAATACTTTCAAGTTCATCAAATTTTTCTTGAAGAGTGTCAAGTTGATGTTTGGAGTACTGAGGGACTCTTCCTTTCCTTTGCGGTGGTTGAACAGGTCCCATATTTACCTTGGCTTCTAAGGGTCCGACTGCGCCATTATAGCCTTGAAAATTTGGGTTAAAAACGCTGTCATACTTGTTTACAAGTTCCCTGAATTTGGATCTTATTCCTTCAGGCAGCAGCTTGTCAGGATCAACATTAACCTGGTCAGAATATTGAACGTGAGAACTATATTGTGTCTGTTTCACTATCGGTGAAGTTGAAGAGCTCTTTTCTTCATGCACAAATGTAGATCGGACTTTGCAAAAGTGTTCATTGCGTTTGAGCACACGTGGCGTGCTTGTGAGATTAGGTACACGCAATTTTCCAGCCACACTTTGAAGAAGACACGGTTCTGGCCATTCCTCTGCCTGAGTTGCGTTACTGCCTTGATGGGGTTCTATCGAAAATGTAGAATCCGTAGGAGCCATGTCAGTTGGTAGCTCAATCTCAACAAACTGGCCAGGCCATACTGTTGTTGATTCTGGAGGGGCACGTGCAATATGTGCTCGTCGTACCGCATGTCTCTGCATTTCAGCATCCGACGACCTATATTGGTAAGTATAGTCATTCCCGATAATCACCTCACATCGTGATGGGCGAATAGCAATGTCGTTGTTTTCCATGAATGGTATGCCTGCTAACACTTCACAGTCAAGATTTTCTACTACAAGTCCTTCAAAATATAGTTTATGCTTATCCCTAATGAAGGTAAGTCTTGTTTCACCAATAACTTTGAGAGGTGATGAACCATCGGCTTGATGGGCTGACTGTAAGCTACAAGTTATTGTGGCACTGGGGTAAGTAGCAGTTGAGGCACGAATCATATTTCCCGTTGCGCCACTGTCAATAGTTAGCCTGACAGGATGGTGTCCAAGGAATACATCAAAGTACGGAGACTGTCTCACTTGAATACGATTGGTAGCGATAGGCTGTTGGTCCTCGTCACTGTCCTCTGTGTCACATATGATTGACTCGTCTTGATCATATATTTCAGTTATGGCACGAGCCTTAGCCATAAAATGTCGGTCCTGCGAAGGCAGAAATGCACATTTGCTGAGAAAGTGTTTGTCTTGTCGTCCTGCTGTCTTACATAAGGGACAAGACTTCTGTCTGGACTGTTGTTGACTTTGCGAGGTGGTGCGTGACTGTTTCTGGAACCTGCTGACCGAGGCTCTCATGGACTTTGCATCATCACTCATGCGGAGTTCCTCCACGAGCGAGTCCAGAGCCTGCGAAATGTCAGGCTTAATTGATGCAAGGGTTCTAGCCCGCAACTCTGTTCCATATCTTTGTTTCACAAGCTTGGGGAGGCCAGGGTGAATAAGCCTTAACCAAGTAAAAACGACAAAATTTTCTAGTGATGGGCTGAGCTCCTCATCATCCTTTATGGCTTCACTATGATGTGTGATCCCCATGTCTTTTCGAAGTAAGTTATCTTCCACGAAGGCTGTGAGTCTTTGGAACAAGTCTTCTGGGCGTTCGTTTGGATCAAAACGAATAGAGTCAAAGTCTATGAAGTGAGCCCCTGTTGTTTGGAAACCATAATGAAGTCGAATAGTTTGCCAAATTTGATCTATGGATGTAGAGTTTTGACAATGGTATTGCGAGATATTGTAGGGCAATAGTTCGCAATCTGGCCTAGCATCAAATCAATTCCAAGATATTTACCTTTTGCTGTTTCGTAAGTCGACTCGCTTCGGGTATGTTATCGTCATCATCACTGAACCCGCGGTACGGTGTACTCTTTGTTTTTTTTTCCACCAGGTTCCTGATACAAGGAATGGAGCAAAATTTTTGTCTAAGGAAAGGGTATATAACAAATTTTGACGCCAATTTTCAAACGAAGCTACTGTCTCAGTCTTTGTTAAACACCACTGTTTTTGTGCACGTGGGGTGCTCGCCATACTGGAAAATGGGTCACAACCTCGAAAATAGAATATGCACTGTATCGTTCACAAATGACCGCAGGAACAGCTCCGTTCCGATGTGACTTCTCTGAAAACCACTTCCTAGAGTCGTGAGTAAGATTACCGCTGCCACCACGCCAATAAGAGTAAGGTGTAAGATGTGAGAAATCACAACACATGTGGATGGTACAAAGCGCGCACTTTAATAATGCAACCGGAAACAACGTGCATACACATAACAATATTACAAAAGTGGAAATAATAATTCCGGACAGTGCCAATGTCTGGCGAAGCGTTGTTTTGTAGGAACTCTCTGTCATACATTAATAAACTTCGTACATAGATTAAACCAATAATATCTAATAAATTTATGGACAAATATGGAGTAACTACACAACTTTTTCCATTTAAAAAGACAAATTTCATTGTCTGGTATAGGAAGGCGGCGCAATACCAAAAAGTTGCAATTAAAATTTTGTATATTATATTTAAAATCCTACGGAAAAGTAATCACTACCATGTATTTATTGAATGGAAATGAAAATTCATAATATTTTTTTTGCATACAATACTGCATTAATTTCCCTTACATTACTTTACCGTAGTATTTACTGGGGGGGGGGGGGGGGGGGGGCTGTACTTCAATGAACATTTTCTAAAGTAAAATTAATGTTGGGTAAAAAACTGCCCCCCCCCCCCCCCCCTTGTTACTACGTGCCTGTATATACATGTTTATACAAAGCACAAGGTAATGCGCTTTCGTCGAATTTATTTTTGTTGGGAATATTACATACCGGATTCAAACTTTGTTGAAAGAGAACTGTCAGTCCATATGAAAGAGTCATGACTGCTCCCTGGTCAATTAGCGACGATGTTGGTGAATCTGAGATCGGCGTCGCACACTCCCTGAACATTTATTGATTGGAAACTATGCTGTCTCCATTATTAAATACAGCTTTATCTTTTATTGAGACTCCAGTATTCATGTGATGATACATAGAAGGTACGTAGGAACAACAAACGAAACGAAACGGTGAAAAGCTACAATAGACAAAAAGAATAATAAGAGTGATGTACAATGCTCAAAGTTAAGAAAATTAATGAAAATCTGAAAAATACCTTTGCTCATAATAAATATGACACAATACTGAGATGTGTGTGTGTGTAAAATTAGCATAATTTTACAAATATCTGCATACATTGACAAAGCATATGAAAAATTTAGCCACTCAAAATTCCCGGTAAAATTTAACAGTAAATTCACACACTTAAGAAAGAAATACCTGGCCGAAAATTGATAAGCATTACACAAATAACTGTAAGAAGTTAAATATATGAAATACTTACATTGTGGGCAGAGAAAACAACTGTAACAACAGTATGACTGTTCATGTACTGAGTAAGGCGACGAATGACAGAAAAAATCTCGTGCAACACGCACGAAAATAACAAGTATAAACAAAAAAAGAAAACCAAAACATACCGGAAGAAAAAATCCGGATTACAAGACGACACACACCTCGCCTGATATTAACAATATCATCAAATTTCAAAATAGACATTTAAGATAATCTAAACATGTAATGAATTAAATTACAGTCCATTTACAGTCTCTTAAAATAACTACCGCACTGAATGACAGAAATGTTCACTGTTCCACAAGAACAATAAGTTCTGTAACGTTTTTGGTTCACCATTCACAAATGAATTCTCAGGGTCTGTAGATACCGACACAAGGGGTCTGGAGTTGATTATGGATGAAGCTTCTGCTAGGAATGTAGTGAGCACCTCATGAGTTAAACTCCTAGATCCGTAGTCGAGTAGAATAGCATCCAATATACGTCTGGTGATCCCTATCATACGTTCCCACACTCCTCCCATGTGAGAAGAGTGGGGAGGGTTGAAGATCCACGTCGTTCTCTGCTCGTTGAGAAAGTTGTGAAGATGTTCATCCTCTACATTTATCACATTGACCTTTAACTCCTTAGCAGCGCCAATGAAATTTGTACCTCTGTCAGATCGAAAGACGTGAACAGGCCCACGTATGGCGATAAATCGACGGAGCGCATTAATAAATGAAGACGACGTCATTTCCTCTACGACTTCGATATGTACAGCCCTGGTAACGAGGCAAGTGAACAGAGCAGCCGATCTTTTATTGTTTGCTGCGCCACCTCTGGTACGTCGTGTGATAATGTTCCACGGACCAAAAATGTCAACTCCAACATTAGAGAAGGGTGGTTGTCCTGGTATGAGACGATTCTCCGGTAAGTTAGACATTTTCTGGTATTCTGGTACTTTTCTAAGCTTCCTGCAAGTGACGCACTTATGAAGGACAGATGACACAAGTCTTTTACATCCGACAATCAAAAATCCAGATGAACGAATATGACCTTCTGTGATATGATGTCCTTGGTGTTTGACATCTGAGTGAAGTTTTCTGACGATAAGAGTAGTCACATAATGTCTCGCAGGTAGAAACATCGGGTTCTTGAATGAAGCATAAGCACTGAGGTTTCGCAAACGACCACCAACACGTAAAATGCCTTCACTGTCAATGTACGGGTCTAGTTTTTGAATAGGACTGTTTTTTGACAAAGGTTTAGAGTCCTGTAATTTTCAATTTCCTCAGAATAGAATTTCTATTGAATGTCTCTGATAATGACCATTTCAGCTTTGCACAGAAGGTCAACATCACTCATCATGCTCTCTACTTTACGACACTTCTGAATATATCCAAAAACTTTAGCAACCACTGCTACAAGTTTGTTCCACTTTGAGAATTTTGTGAGGAGTTCATTGTCCAGACCGTAAGCTGTTTTTGTCTCAATGTCAGTTTTGTTACAGCGGATTTCCTTGTCTTCCTCGGGACTCACAAGAGGAAAATGCTCATCAGAAGGTACGATGTCTGTTTTTTCTAGGTTAGAGATCCAGACACAGTTCTGCATTTCACTAGGGAGAATTCCTCTCTGCTGGGTTGATTTCACTACGTATATAGTACCATTGTGACGGATCACTAAGACTGGGTTTGTGAGCAATACGATTGGCGACATACACAAAACATCGTTTCTTAGCATTGTTTATGTATTCTAACACAATTCGACTGTCACTAAAATATTTCACATTGTCTATTTCTATCTTCAGCTGTTCTTTTGCTGTTTGTCCTACATTCACAGCAAGTACCGCGGCACAAAGTTCTAGTCTAAGGATTGTATGTCCACTGACAGAGGCCACTTTTGCTTTCCCTAAAACGAAGCCTTGAGAAGTAGAACCATCGGGATAGTGTGCTTTTAAATAGCAAACAGCAGCTATGGCTAGTTCGGACGCATCACAGAAAATGAGTTGTTCTTTCCTATGTGCTTCGCTCAGATTAGGAACAATCACTCGAGGAATTTGTAACTTTTCCAAGTCGGGAAGTTATTCTTCCATTTCTCCCCTTCTTCAAAAAGGTAATCAGGTAGGGCTTCATCCCAGTCTGACGTGTCTGACACTACTTTCCGCAAAATAATCTTGCCCTGAATGATAACTGGGCGATGAATCCGAGAGGATCATAAAGACGGTTCACGACAGAAAGTACACCTCTCCTTGTAGACGGTTTGTTTTCACTAGAAACTTTGAATCTAATGGTATCTGTCTGTAAGTCCCACAGAAGTCCAAGACTGCTTTGAGCTAAGACATCCTTATCGAAATTCAGGTCGACAAGGTTCTTGGCGAGGTCATTAGAATCAAAGGCTTCCATAACTTCTTTGACATTAGATGCGAATTTGTGAGGTCTTATGTTACCATACTCCTTCATGGCATCTTGAGTTTTGTGTATGAGGAGGACTGCCTCATGAGTAGTTGCACAAGATTTCAAGCCGTCGTCTACGTAAAAGTCGTTTACAATGAAGTCTTCCACTTCCTGTCCATGAGTGTTAGCAGCTAGCTCACCAATGCGACGTAGACCATACATTGCCACGGAAGGAGAGGAGAGATTGCCAAATACGTGAACTTTCATGCGGTAAGTAACCAGTGGTTTTTCAAAGTCATTATCTTTGTGCCACAAGAAACGTAAATAGTCACGATGGTCTTCATCCACCAGAAATGAATGGAACATGCTTTGAATGTCGGCAACTACGGCTACTCTTTCTTTCCTGAAACGATTGAGTATTCCCAGGAGATTGTTTATGAAGTCAGGTCCTTGTAATAGTTGTTGGTTCAAGGACACACCCTTGAATTCCTCTGAGGAGTCGAAGACACCACGAATTTGATGTGGTTTATGAGGATGGGTAGACTCAAAAAATTGGAAGGTACCAATGTTCCTTATCGGGTGGTATATATGGACCCAATTCTGCATGATCACATTCAAATATTTTCTGCATAAATGTAATGAAATGTTCCTTTTTGATGTTGTTTTTTCCTAAAGAGGCATCAAGACATCTAGCACGAAACAATGCTTGTGAGTAGTTGCCTGGAAGTTGTTCACGATTTTGCCGGAAGGGTGGGATCAAGATGAAACTTGTCGTCCATAATCTTCAGAAAATTGCGATCTTCAATCGAGAGGCCGAATTTATTGTCATCTGGCGTTTTCTTGAAGATATCTATTTTTCCGACAACAGTCTTGTTCGTAGTGATGACAGTGCTTTGTATGTTTAAAGTTTGTTTGCATGGTTCCAACATTGTAGGTCGACCACTTTTACTGATGAAAGTTCTGTTGACATGTAATTATGGAATGTGTTTTCCAGACAAACAAACATCTCCAATAATTGTCCATCCTAAAGGAGATCGTTGAGCAAAAGGAAAACGTGGTGGTCCTTATCTCTGATCAAAAACGTGATGGGCCTCTGGAAGATCCCGTCCTATAAGCAGTAGGACTTCCATAGATGGATCTAACGGATGTAGGTCTCGAGCAATATCCTTCAGGTGTGGATAATGACGAGCGATATCCGGTGTAGGCATTTCCGTCTGACTGTTTGGTATGTTGTCACACTCCAAGACAGGTGGTAATTTCAACTGACGATTGTCACTGATTGGCTCGATGCCAAAGTTGTTAAAGGTTGTCAGCAACACGCCCACTACTGGTAACCTTGCCCGAACACAATTGCATTGTGTAGTCAACTGGCAGAGTTTTGATACACAGAGAGTCAAAAAGGTAACTTTTACCTATGGTTTTGTTGCTCTGGTCGTCAAACATAGCGTAAGTCACAACTGATGTTTGACGTTGACCTTGAACATATACACGCACTGGTACAGTCCTTGCACATGACTTTCCACTAAATTCACCACAAATATCAGTACAGTTAGAATAATTGACTGCTTCACATTTCCAGAAAGTGAGTTTCCTCCTCGCCATGGTTTAGTGGGAAGAAGAATTCCTGGACATCTGGCGGTTACTAACATCCTCATGAAGAGCTGTACAGTGGTAGGTACATGTACTTCTACACACATCACACAAAACCTTGGATTTGCAGCGATTAGCGAAGTGATCTGATGTTTCAAAACAACGAAAACAAATGTTATAATCTCCTAGAATGTGTTTGCGTTCCTGATGCTTTTGGTTCTGAAAGCTTTACATGTACACTTGTTTATAGTATGTCGAGATCCTTTGCGAATCAAATACTGATGTCCGCCATTCACTGTCTCACAGAAATGTCAGATTTGTGGGTAAACACAGTAAGTTTAACTTTACTTTGTCCTTTGCGATCAGGGCGGTTCTCCTTAGAAGAACCAAACATCAACCCAGGATCATTTCTGATGATGCTCATCTCACCAATGAATGCCACAAACTCACTGAAAGGAGGAAAGATTACACAGTGTTCTTTCTTGTAATGAACCACACGATTAATCCACTTCTTCTGGAGATAACGAGAAAGTCGTTGAACTATATGTTTAAATCCAAGAGATGAATCAAGGTATGAAAACATCACACTGTATTCTGGAATAGCTTTCACGGCTTGTACCTCACAAAGTAGGTCATGTAGTTCATACAACTTTTTGTGGTCTGTGAAATCGGTTAAAGTATGCAGTCGAGATTTCAGGCTTGATTCTATCAACTCGGGAGATCCAAATCTTTCATCCATACGTTTCCAGATGTTGAATAAGCATAGTTCTGGATTATTGGCGCATGAAGCTCTAAGGCTCATAATCAGTCTGTTAGCTTCGGAGTTTTTGTTTGTACAATTGGTGAGAAGAGTTTATTCTTCTAGTGGTGAACACCTTATTTCTGACACCATAGTCTTAAACTGTGTTTTTCACACTACATATCGATCTGATTTGTCAACAAAACGCTGTTGTTGGAAACTTTCCAACAGTAAGTTCTTTTTGAGAAGGAAATTCGAGGCATCTGAATAGTTGTGTGATGGTAAATTCACGGCAGATTGTGTAGGTATCTGTAACAATGGTGAACGATAATTGTCAACATTTCTTTGCTGGCCATAATGATGGACGTCTGAAGTATGTACAGGATAATTTTCTTTGCCTGTGTCAGGACGAACTTCTTTTTGAAAGTTTGTACGAGTTCCACTATTGAATACGAAAGGCTCAGCATTGGGGTTCAATGTGAGATTGTCAACAAAGTTTCTTGTTTTCTGCTCACCAGATACACAAGGAACACTGGATTTCGAATCTTGATGTGTCTTCCTCCTCTTCAAGTTCAAATTTAAGACGCATATTTGCAATGTCCAGTTCTTCATGTTTTTGCAGTAGATCCAATTCCAAATCTATATCTTCCTGTTGCTGCTGACTTTGAGCTTTGTGTATTTTGTCTTCTAAGGTGATTTTGGACTTTTGCTTTTTCAGATTTGCAGACTGTTCAGCAATCTTTGAACGAGTTTTGGCTTCCTCCACTCTCTGTTGTGAACGTCTACTAAGCTTGATGATTTAGAACTTGTTGTCCTATGAGATGGGTTGAAGTTCACTTCCAACTGGACATAATCAATATCGTCTTGTACTTTCATTAAAGCGTTTTGAACCTTCTTATTTATCTCGTTAAAATTCTTCCGTATAGTGTCTTAATTCTTGTGCGCTATCAGCTGTGTGTTTTCTATCGAAGTAATCACCGAATTCTTCATGATAATCTTCGTAATGTTTGAAACTGTCCTCCAGTTTTTCTTTCACTGACTTTAATGCATAGATCTCTTTTGGAGATGAAGCACATTCTAGCAAATACACTTTCTATATCCTGTGAGAAGCGCAAAAGTATGTCTCAATACCTCTGAACTTTTTCTTGGTATTGTTCCTGTGCTTTCTCTGTGAGGGTGTGCACTCTACGTGACGTTTCTTCGTCCTCTGTAGAAATCTTTCCCAGGTTATGAGCCATGCCTGTGTAGTTGAAACTCTGGAACGTTTCACTAATCTTTTCACTATGCTGCCTCCATTATTAAATACAGCTAGTTAACCGTTTTTATACCCCCGCTCCGAAGGAGAGGGGGGTATACTGTTTTACCCTTGTAAGTCTGTCTGTCTGTGTATCGTGTAACAACTTTCAAATAATTAAAATTGGTTCATCTTTTACCCCAGAGGCCATGAAATTCACAATTATGAAAGAGGCACCATTGCTTATCATAATTATAAACTTAGCATGCTTACTCTATTTACTTAATACCCAGAGGTAGATCATAGTAACAAAGAGAAAATGCACTTCCACTTTATAACCAGTTGTGCACCTCTCCCCAAAGGAACCATTGACCCTGGGGCCACATATTTCAAAATTTTGCAAATTTTATCATAAAATGGTTGATTAATACTAAAGAGCAGGTTTCAAAGCATTAATTTATTTTCAGACTATGTTAACCCCCCCCCCCGACCAAAAGGGCATAAAAAAATAACCTTTTTGCTAGATGCACCTTTCTTTATCATATATATATATATATATATATATATATATATATATATATATATATATATATATATATATATATATATATATATATATATACTTGGATCATAAGCATAAAACCCAAGAGCAAAG